TAAAAAATAACAATGCTACAGCAAGAGTGCATTTTATACATTAATATCACACCAGCACTCACAAATCGTTACAATCATAATACTGCAAATCAAAACTGAAGACTTTATTCACGAAATTTTGCTCTTCACTCAGTCTTTATTATCATTCATAATATGGATGGCAATGTTTTTGTCTTTTACTATTATTAATTGTATTCAGGGACAGGTAATACTGTGTTGTATTATATAAAATACAAGTAATACAAGCAGCAGTAGTAGTGGGTGGTGCACTGGGCCGGCCCAGGGATCACTGGACAGAGGTTGTCCATGTTTTCATCCTATCAGTACCGTGCCCTCCTCACTTACTCCAGACAGACACAAACTGCTAGCTGACAAGGTAAGACATCACTAAAGCTTTTATAAACTGGAACTGGCGGATTTAATTCTTGCAGTCATTTATAATAATCTCTGCATGAGCGCTTGTGTCCCCATTGCGCGCATCGAACCAGCCTTGCGCGATTTTCACTCTAACCTCGATTAGTCTGTGCCTTTTCAAAGTAAGGCGGCTTCACACGTGATCTGCGTGCGTGCAGTTACTTGCACTTTTTATACTCGCCAACAGCTTCAGTATTTGTGAATATCCGAGGATTAAAGATGCTTTTAAAGTGACACTCTGATAGCGGGAATGATCCCCTCTCTCGCTCTCCCTCTCTTTCTCTCTCTCTTTCACACACGTGCGCGCGCGCGCGCACACACACACACATACACACGCACATACACACCCACGGTCTCTGCGCAATATATCCACACACATCGACCCACCCTAAACTTTCTATGACCTGAAGACAAGCTATTTTAGTTAACAAAGGCATGCTTCAATAGTATCTGGAATGCTGGTGTGTTTATCTGCATGTGTTTTTTTGGGGGTTTTTTTAGTGTCTACAAAGTCTTACTTATACTACAATGCTTATTGCACTTAAAAAGTTAAAGTTAGGGCCATATTGTAGTGTAATATGCCTTTATTTTTCTATCCTCAGGATTTTCCATGGCTGCAAACTCTCAGTGTGTACTTCTTGTTATATTGCTTAATTTTCTGACATTATCACTTGGCACTCAAGATGACCTTATGATCAGTACAAGCGATGGGAAAATTCAAGGGAAATTGCTTTCTGTGCTGGGTTCGGATGTTAGAGCCTTTCTTGGAATTCCCTATGGAAAACCACCTGTTGGGAAATTAAGATTCAGAGCGCCAGAGCCAGTAGAGAAATGGGATGGTGTGAAGGATGCTACCAACTTTCCAAATTCCTGCTACCAGATGCCTGATACAGCCTTTCCTGGTAGGACTCACATTAACACAACTGGGCACAATGCATGCACAGACTGTGTAATGGATAGTGCATATCTGTACACTTACATACACATAGCCACTACATAATATGAAATATTCAAAGGACTAAACAAAATCCAAACATAGTATTAAATAAATATTTTCAACATATTTCACATTGCTGTTATTTATATGTTATGTACACATGTTTTATCTAAACAATAACCAGAGAGTTACATTACTATAAATAAATTAATAATATTATTTTATAATTTATTTAAAAATAAAACCTGCAAAAATATTTATCATACCTGATAGCACTAATTCATCACTTGTTTGACTGATAAGTAATCTTCTTTTTTTTTCTTTTTAGAGAGAGAGAGAGTTAGGATTGCAATCCACTTTAGACTGTTTTTTAAAAAACATTTTATGTTACCTAAACGCTAGCTTATAAAGGGTAGCATTTTGCTCTCAGACAGTTTTGTCATGCAGAGTTTTTTTTGCACTGTATTCATTTCAGAGTAATGCTTTAGTGGGGAGTGGCAGTTAGGAAACATGATCTCATTCGTAGTGTATGCATTCCCTTTCTCAACTAAACACTTTTTTTAATTGCAAAAGTAAATCTTGGACATGACCCATAAATGTTAAGCAATTTTTTTTTGTATTATTATTTTCTAGACTGATAAAGAATGTATCTCTTACACATTACACTTTCATATATTACTTAACACGAATACACGAGTCAAAGTTTTCAAATGCCTTTCCCCTCACTCAAGAGAATTACTGCGGTTGGGCTGGCTGTATTTATAGATGAAGCCACCTGTCGGAGATTGTTGAACTACTGCAACGGATACCAGACATATATCAATGTAATAAGCACACTCACTTAATTTAGATATGACATCAGAGATAGAAATGAACCTAACTCACTGTTATCAGGTTGTTGTCAGTGATTCTCATTCTAGGTAAAAACAACCATACAACTGTACACAGTACATTAATGGTAAATTCAAGTTAATTTTTCTTCAAGCTAATAAAATGAAATGGACCGATGAATAAATTAATTTGAACTTGTAGATTGCAGTAATGTTGTCCCAATCAGGCTCTTTAAAATTATATAATTATACTACTGCTTTTATCTAACAAAATTCTTTCCAGGGTTCAAAGGTGTAGAAATGTGGAACCCAAACACTCCTCTGAGTGAGGACTGTCTGTACCTCAATGTCTGGTCGCCACGTTTCAACAAAACGCAGCCTGCACCACTTGCCCCTGTCTTTGTCTGGATTCATGGTGGTGGGTTCATCTCAGGAACATCGTCATTGGACATTTACGACGGCCGTTTCCTGAGTAAATCTGAAAGTGTTGTTGTGGTATCAATGAATTACAGGTAAGAGGTAATAAATACTAATAGTAATTAAATATAGTTATTATATGTAACTAGAAACTCTACACATTTATACAAGAAAATAAAATTGAGTATGACAAATCTGGGTGATATTCTTTTTAGAATAATAAGAGTAAGCAATATTGTGATTTAGCTTCAGTCATACATTGTCAGTATGCCTTATTGTTGTGGTCATCAATAACAGATTGGGAGCGTTTGGTTTCCTGTCTCTTCCCGACAACACAAATATCCAGGGTAATGCAGGCCTTTTGGACCAACGCCTGGCTCTTAAATGGGTTGCAAATAATATTGCAGCTTTTGGTGGTGATCCTTCTAAGGTAAATGCCTTAATTCTAGAAAGGTTTTTCACATGTTGAAACAATTTTAATTTGGCATTGTTTCCAGGTTACTCTGTTCGGAGAAAGTGCTGGGTCTGCATCTGTTGGCTTCCAGCTGCTCTCGCCGGGCAGCCAGGATCTTTTTCAAAGGGCTGTGATGCAGAGTGGCTCCCCCAATGCATACTGGGGCACAATTAGTCAGACTGAGGCCTGGGACAGGTAGTGTACATTTTTTTATCATCTTTGTCTTGAGCCAACTTGGTTGACTTAACCCTTGTATCTAGACTGACAAAATGACAAGTGTATTAAAAAGTCTGAAGATTTCCAGAGGCTGAAACCTGATGACTTTGCCTTTAGCTCCAACAATAGGTCGACATTCTCATTCATCCTTTGTCCATATAGGTACCGTTAGGATTTTATCAATACCAATATTGAAACTGATATTACTTACAAATATTAATACATCCTGATAGTCTGATATTATTTCTGATACTACCCTCCAGAGTTTAGTGTAAAAAGAATACACAGCAGTGGCTATAGCTAATTCTGAAGTGTTGGCTAGCACACAAATGGTGTTTTTCATTGCAGTCTTATACTAACCAGGTATCGAGGTGTTTAGTTTTGTGCTTCAGGTCAATGGCTGTGGTGATCCCACACAGTTAAAAATATCCTACTAGAGTGAGGGCTTGGCTGTTGTCCCAGGCTGCAGCTAAGTTTACAAGGATCTGCCAAATTTGAAGATACTTACACACAGTAGTCTTTCTGTATACTGACACGTTTAATTTTAACAATTCTTAGCAATCAGATTAACAGACTAACAAGAACACTGTGGCTTTGCAATAGATAAAAACATATATTATTTTTTGTCAAAAAAGGCTTTGATCACAGTAAAAAATAAATAATAATGTGTGTGTGTGTGTGTGTGTGTGTGTGTGTGTGTGTGGATATATATTTTCATTCAGTTATATATATTTATCTACTACAAAAAAACATGATTTTTGACTTCAATATTCAGTTCCAAAATCTACATTTGTCTTTCATACTGTCTGTGAGATCATATTGTGTGACAATAAAAGTGATTTGATTTGATTTGATTTGATTTGCATTGAATAAAAGTTTGGTTCTATGAGTTCTTCCTTATTTTGTTCTTTTTCAATATTTAGGTCTCTTATGCTGGCAAAACTGGTGGATTGTCCCTCATCTCCTGCAGCTCGTCTAGAAGCTTGTCTGCAGCAGGCTGATCCTCAAAAAGTCTCAACCAAGCAATTTGAGGTTCTCACTCAATCGTCACTATTAAGTCTTCCCTTTATGCCTCATGTTGATGGGAACTTCTTACCAGATGCAGTTGATGTGAGTACCCATATTTGGCATTTGGTTGACTTTCTTTAAGAAATATTTTTTTCGCTACATCATGCATCTCCAATAAGTGCTGTTCATACTTGGGTTTAAGGCAGTGTTTCCCAACCACTGTGCCGCGGCACATGGGTGTGCTGTGAAAAATGATCAGGTGTGCCGTGGATGATTAACTGGTTCCACCTGAGTAACGGGCAGAACAATTACATTCTCTTCAAATAGAGGGCAATACAACTATCTGCTCTAATTAAATTGGTTGCCAACTGACAGTAAAATAGTAGAAGACGAAGAATAAATGACATAATAATCATGCTGTGAGTGAGACAACGCAGCACATAATAGCAATAGATACATATTTGAAAAGAAAAAGTAGTCAATCTGACCTGGATCCTGGAAAAACTTCCTACCCAGATGAGCAAATTTTCCTATATTTGGTGCGCGGGAAAAATATCAATGTGCTTTCTGTGACATTTTTGTTTGGTGGTGTGCCGTGTGATTTTTATAATGTGAAATATGTGGCGTGGCTCCAAAATGTTGGGAAACACTGGTTTAAGGAAAAAGTTGCATGCAACCAGTCCACATGTTGTCAAAAGAAAAAAAAAAAAACGTTTATACAATCAAAGGGAAGTATACCCTCTTTAATTCTAAGGTTATACATGAAAAAAAAATCACAATTATCTGGTTTTTACCAGATTAAATAAAATACAACCTTAGATGAACTACAGTACATGGCATCTTGCACCGAGTGATTTTTTAGTTATTAAAAACAAAGTTAAAGAAGCAGTGTGTGGAAAAACTTTTTTTTTAAAAAGTATACACTGTGACTCAGTAGCTTGTAGAACCATTTTCCACAGGAATAACTTGATGTAACTGCTTTATGTACGACTTCATGACTCTTCATCACTTTTGGCCCACTCTTCTTTACAATGTTGCTTCAGTTCATTGAGGTTAATGGACATTTGCTTATGCACAAGTCTCTTGACATCCCACCACAAACACTTGGTCTGGATTTTTTTTTTTTTTCATTCTGATGTAGATTTGCTGGTGTGCCTAGGTTAATTGTCCTGTTGCATGACCCAGTTTTGCCTAAGGTTAAGCTGTTAGGGAGACTGCTTCACATTTGAGCCTACTATCACAATCCCATCTCCACATTGGTCCTGTCTATCTAAAGGACATTGTTCCAGAAGTTTTGTGACTTCTTCAGTTGCAATTTTGCAACCTAAGCCATGCTGTCATGTTCAGTTTTGAGAGATAATTTCAGTTGTACTATCATGAATTTTAGTATTTAATATACTAGCAGAGGACTGTTGTAGCTATCTGGCTTTTTATAATTTCTCTGATCATTATGTGGTCTAATGTTGGATCACTTAAGAATCATGGACATCACATTGTTTGGAAATGGCCTTCCCAGACTGATGGGCAGAAACAGTTGATTCCTTGTAATCATGGCTAATATGTTTTCTGTCAACACATACTTGAATGCTCCAGACTATATATATATATTAGGGGTGCAAC